TTGCTTTTTGTTGTTTGAACCTTATTGGCTAATAGCCCCATACTTGTAATTAACCCTATAAAACCTCATGTGCACGTCTTGGAGGTGCTGAGAGCTTCGGAGCAGAAGCCCCTCTGAGCCCGCCAGCGTAATAAATCCGAGTACTCCAACCCTCCGAGTGATGCTTGTTTCTTGGCTGGCCTGTCATTTCTGTAACAGAGTGACAGACCCAGCCTCATATGAGAGGCTGCTCCACCTGGAGCCTTCCCCACCCACGGCGAGGCTGCTGTGGCTCAGAAGGGCCCTTGGCTGGTCAGGAGACTGGCTCTAAGGCCCTGGCTCGGCCTCCAAGGAGCTGGTGACCTTGAGCAAGTCACTGTCCCTTCTGGGGGCTTTCAGCTGGGGCACAAATGAGCTGAGTAGAGAGGAAAGCAGGAAAGGTTTTCCCAGTCTTCCAGCGCCTCCTCCAGATCACACCTGCAACTCATTAACCCACCTGCCTGGGGGAATTCCTCAGTTTGGGGGTAGGAGGGAGCTGGGCTTGGCTTCCCAGCCTGGGACCCCACTAACCCCTGAGGAACTGCAGAGGGCCTGATAAACCCCCTTACTTCCCCCAACCAAATCCCCCTGATATATGTTTGTGTGTGTATGTGTGTGTGTGTGTGTGTGAGAGAGAGAGAGCATCTCAGGGTCACATAAGGCCAAGGCCAAGGCAGGATTCAAATCTGCATCTCCATCAGAGCAGGAAGTGCAAGGCACACACAGGGGAGACGGAGAGGAAGGGAAGGAGGCAGGGAAAGGATGGAGGGTTTGTTGATGGGGGCAAGAGAGGATGACAGCAGGTCCACAGGATCTGGCTCAGGTGCTGGGAGAGGGTCCGGGAATGATAAAGAGAGCTGACAAGTATTGATTCATTCATTCAGTCAACAGGTATCTGTGGAGCATCTTCCACGGGCCAGGCACCATTCCTAGGCTGGCTTTAGGGATGTAAACGTAAAGGAAAGAAACAAAAAAAATCCCTGATCTCAGAGAGCTTACTGGTGGGGAGAAACATACAATGAACAAAGAAACAAAATTTTAAAAGGTAAGACGTTAAATGGTGACAGGTGTTACTGAAAAAGCAGAGGAGGAAGGAGGCTGGGAGTGCAGGGGGCTGGGTGGGATAATAGTTTTAACAGAGGGGTCCGGGGGGGCTTTGTGAAGATAGGGACAAACAAAAATGCCATGGGGCAGTGAGGGGTGAGCCTGGGGAAGAGCCTTGGAGAGAGAGGAGACAAGAGCAAAGGTCCATAGGGGACTGACCGTAGCAGCGGGCAAGGTGGGTACCAGACCCAGCCACACCAGCCCCGCTCACGCTGTTAGCATTAGGGCTTTCATTATTCAAAGTGAGCTGGGAAGCACTCAGGACTTCCGGCCCAGAGGGATGTCACGGATCTGGGTTTGATAAGGCTCATTCTGTCTGCTGAGCTTTGAAGAAACTGCAGGGAACCCTGACAGAAGCAGGGAGACCAGATGGGCAGCTACTGAGCTGGTCCAGTTCTAAGTGGGAGGCTATGAACCCTGGAGCCCAACCAGGCCAGAATGAAAACACTTTTACTGATATGAAAAACCTTTATTCTCTGTGATTTTACTGCTCTGAGGCTGTTTCCATACCCAGTAAATGGGGCCACCACTTGTAGCAGAGAGGCCTTGAGGATGTGAAGCAACGGCAGGGAGCCTGGCCCAGTAAAGGCTAGGCCCTCGGGGAACACTGCCTCCACACAGCTGACTGAGCCACAGGGCTTTGAACCCCTGCTTGCTGAGTGACCCTGGGAAGATTACTTAACCTCTCTGGGCTGATTTCCTATCTGTGAATGGGGTATGACATTCTGAGAGCAGACATTTCTGCCATATCTGGAATATAAGAAGAGGTAGCGAGCTCTCTGTCACAGGAGGTATGGGAGCAGAGGCACCTGATGGAAGCGGGGTTACCTCTACTAACAAAATCTAACAATCATGGCATACTTAAGAGACATCTGCCACAGGCTAAGAAATCTATATTTATTGTTTGATCCATTAGCACTGAACCTGCAGGGTCAATGTGCTCTCATAATGTCAGCTGCTCTCATCTGATTTAATTCTGGCGACTCAGCTGTCTAAGGTAGAGGCTGGTGCCACTGTATTTCCCAATTCCCATTTTACAGATGAGGAAACTGAGGCAGAGAGCGGTTAAAGTTACTTGTCCAAGTTCACTCAGATGGTACCTAGTGGGACCCATGCACAGGTGATCTGAATTCAGAGCCCATGTTCTTTTGGTTATAAACTCAGCATGTTACTTTGGGCCAGTCCTGGCTCTGCCTCTGCACCCGTTTTCTCATCTCCCAGCTGACAGCCAGGTGAGTGTGCCATCTTGGGCGCACTGGCCCTGCTGGGCGCGGATGACTTCAGCCCAGCCAACATCACATGGGGCAGGAGAACCACCCAGCTGGGCCCAGGCAACCCACAGAATCATGAGAGATAATAAAATGGATTTATTTTAAGCCATTTGTTACACAGCAATAGATAAATAAAACAGTATTCAGCAACAAATATTTGCTGAGTGCCTGGTGTGTACCAGACACTGTACTAGACACTAGAAGAAGCCCATCATTGTTTTTGTTTCCAGCTTCCGGGCCTGCTAGGAGCCTTTAACTTCCTCCCGCCGCAGACTGAACCGGGCCCGGGCAGGAGCATGCAGCCTCAGGTGTTGTCTCTCCAGAGATGCCATCAGCACCGAGGATGCTATCATAGCTGGGCGGAGGCAAGAGGGGCTGGGCCCCCACCAGGGCATCCCCAGAGGCACCCAGGTCTTCCTCCATGGGGTATGTAGGTGGTATCGGGGGCCCCTCAGCCAGTGGGCAGCACACGGCCTCCTCATCACTGGGGAAGGCAACCACCTTTGGAGACCTACAGGGACAGAAAAGGAGAGGCTGTGAGCAGGGGTTGGGGCAAAACTCTACCGCACACCAGGGAAATAGCAAGGAAGGCAGTGACGGGGCAGCTTCATGCCCTGGTCCAAGCCCTCTGCGAGTTCTCCAGGGCCCCATATACACAGCTGAAGCTTGGCATCAGCTGGCCCCCTGCCACCCTCAGCTCCCCGACTCCACCCTCCCTGCCCTATAGTTAGTTCTTCATAGAGGTAGTTCCTCAGTTCGCTCTGCAGGGAAAGTCCTTCCCACCTTCCTTGCTGGTCAGTCCCCACTTGCCCTTCTAGTCTCCTCTGGGGAGCTCTCCTGACCTCCCCCAGCAAAGCCCCTACTCCCTGCTCTGGGCTCCCAAAGGGCTCCCCTCTCTGTCACTGCACTGATCCCACCTAGGTGTCACCAAGGGCAGGGACTTTGAGTGTCCAGGGACTGATGCTTGGGGATGTTTGTTGAAAAACTGAGTGATGATCCATGGTGAGAAAGGCTCCCAGCTTACTGTAATCTCCCTTATAAGATCTGGAGTTGTGGATGCTCAGGGCAGGATGGGAGACCTCAACTCCTCTGCCCACTTGGATGCTTGAGGCCCTGATAAGTCCACCAAATATCTACCTCTGCTTGCATACCTCCAGAGGTGGAGAGCTCACCACTTACCAAGTCAACTGCATCTGTCTCTGAACAGTTTGGTTTTCCTGTGATTTGCCCCCACCTCCCCCAAATGAACCACCCTGCAGGGACTTGAGGCAGAGACCAGATCCTCTGACCATGTTCTGCAGGCTAGATTCTAAGAACAGGTCATTTGCATCCCAGCCACAGCATTGCTGACAGGAATAAGGCTGGCCCTCAGTCCTCTCAGGACCCTGGTACGTCCCTCTAGGGAGTCAGTGCCCCTTCCCCTCCCAGGACCCTGGAGGTGAGAGTGTCACTGATCCAGTGTCCGGGCTGGTCCTGCTTTGGGAAGATACTGCCAGATACAGGGGCTGACTCTGTGACCTTGAAGGTCTCTTCCCACCCCAGGTGGCTGAGGGCTGGCTGTGAGTCAGCATTGGCTGAGTCAGCTCCCTGCTATGCCACAATCATGGGTCAGTAACTCTATTGATCTGGGCCCCAGTTTCCCCATCTGTAAAGTGGAACAATAACAGCACCTGCCTCACAGGACTGTGTGAAGATTAAATGAGATAATACAGCGGGCACCTTGCACGTGCTCTATAAATGGGAGCTGGAAACAAAATCTCAAAGGTGTCCATGAGGAAGGGTCACAGGTCTCCTGCTGGCAGGCACCACACAGGCTCAGAGAGGCTGTCACTTGCCGAAGGTCATCAGTTTGAGCCAGGAGGGAAGAAGATAAATCTATATCAGCGGGCCTCCCTGTCTAGACAAGGGAGGGGCCAATGGCGGGAGGCTGGCTGGAGGACAGAAGAGGTAGTGGAGGAGGCTTTGCTTTAGGGATGGTGGAGGGTCTGTGCCAGGAATCTGCTGCCCCTCAGGTCAGCACCCACTGCCCACCGGGGACATGGCCCTTCTCTGAGCAATGTGTCTTCTCAGCCCATGCCCACTGCCACCCTCAGAATAGCCCACTGGGAGGCAGGTTCACTGCTCCAGTCATAGGCCAGGGTTGTGGTGCAGGCTATGTGCCAGTCTGATGGAGGACACCAGCCAGGAGCCAAATTTGGGCCCCCCAGCCAGTGCTTTTGCAAAGTGCTCTCACAGACCCTCCTTCTCTGGAGCCCAGGAGCTGAGGAAGGTGATAAGAGATCTCACTCTCCTGACTCCCAGCATCCTTGGCAGGTGAGGGCAGGCAAAGAATTTTGCATCTGCTTTGCAGGTGAGCCAGGCAAGCTAGGTTCAATTGCTGTGTGATGTAGACCATGTTCACACCCTCTCTGAGCCTCTTTAGCCTCATCTGTAAATTGAGGATAACAATTCCCATTTTATAGATTCAGGGAAAATGGAAAAGGTTTCAACAACACTCAGAAAAAATGTGGGTGATGACTTCGAGAGCCACACACCTCCTGGCCTGCTCACCTCCCAGCCATTCCCTGGCCGCTCCCACTTCTCCAGCCCCAGAGACAGGCAGGCTCTGGGTATGCCTGGAGCCACCCAGCAGGCAACAGCTGGCAGGGCAGGGCACAGCTGCTGGTGAGCTCAGCCCACAGCAGGAAGTTTGCTTAGAGGGCAGACATGGAGTGGCCCTCATGCCACCTCACCTAGCCAGCTGGGCCCATCCAGCCAGGGTCATCACGGTCGTGCAGTCGTGGTTCAGAAGTCTGGGAACTTGGGAAACACGAGGCCCCAGGCAGGGCGGCCACGTCACACACTTAGGGGCAGGCTTGTTCATGGTGCATTCTGGACATGCTCCCTGCAGCTGTGTGGGCTGGGCCCACACACAGGAAGCTCCACCAAGGCTAGGGTTTGCCTCTCTGGAGTCTGGTGGGGATAGGAGATCTGGGCCTGGCACCAGCTCCTCCATCCTCCACCCTTCAGCTGAGTCAAGCAGACACAGAAGGGAAAGGAACAAGGGTCAAACACTACTTGCCCAACACTCAAGCTCTCTAATCTCATTTCACATTCAGGACAAGCCCGTGGCTGGCGGCCTTCAGCCAGGTAAGGGAAGGCCATGCGTCCACTAAGCAGCAAAGCCCCAGCTCTGTCTACTTGCAAGGCCCAAGCCAACGGCACCTATCACACCTCTCCTGAGCCAGCCCCTAATGTATCCACACCTCAACCTTCTCATCCATAAAATGGGCCCAGTCCTTACACTGCCTCATAAGCAGTGAGGCTCAAATCAGTGGACATGAGAGAGGATCGTGAAATGAAAGCACAGTCAGAGCAGTGAACTTTGCAGTGTATACGCCTCCCATCCGTCATCTCATCTGAGCCTAACAGCAATCCTAGGGAAAATTCCAGGTTTGACGTAGGAAGAACTAGACATAGCTCAGAGTCTAAGTAACAGGCTCGAGGACACAGCTTAGAAAAGAGCAGACACTGAAAGCCTCATGTCTGACTAGAGCCATGCTTTGTCTGCTGTACTCACTGAGGGCAGGGGCCCTGGGAGGACTCTCATCCAGCCACATCACTTAGGGGCTCACACTTTAGATGGGGGCCCCAAGGGCAGGGTTCTGCCTGTTTTGTCCATTGCTGCATTGTCAGTGCACTGCCTAGGACCAAGTACACAGCAGGCACCCAGTAAACGGTGAAATGCATGCAAGGATAAGTAGATGAATAAATGAGGAAACTGAGGCCCCAAGAGGGAAATGGACCTGCCCAAGCCATCAGCCTAAAAGGCCTCTGTCTCTGACCTGAATTTACCCACAGACAGCAAGGTGCCTGCAGGCAGGGACAGCTGACTGGCCTCCCCATGGGGGCCAGATGCTGGGCTCTCAGCAGCACGGCCGGGCTAGATCAGCCCCATGGGCAAGAAAGAGCCATTAGCAGAAGCAGCTTCCCCAACATCCACCACCCCAGTTTCGGATCTAAGACTTGGGTCTCCAAACCTGATGGGCCATGAGCACCCTGTAGCCTCCTGGGTGGGTTCCTCCTTGGCCTGGCTGGGAATGAAGGCCCAGTGGCTCCAACTGACAGATGCAGCTGTGGCCCGGGCCCTGTTGAGTCAACATGGCTGTGTGTACAGACAACACCCACCCTCCGTGCTCAGGCCAGGCCAGGCAGGGAGGGACAGGCTCCAGTCCAGAGTGCCCTGAGGCCTGGCCTGGTTCCAACTGACCATTAACTCACTGTGTTACCAGGTAGGTCACTGGTCTCTCTGAGACCCAGGCTTCTCATCTGAGAAGTGAAGGGTTTGGCTGGAGACTCGGGGGACCCTGCCCTTCCCTCTAACAGACAGGTCAAACCAAAGCATGACCACTGGACTAAGGGGCCTCTGTTGAATACTCTGTTGTCTGTGACCTCGGTGAGTCACAGGCCAGGAGCCAGGACTAACCTGTCACATTCTTTAACTCAGAATGCATTTTCCCTCTAACCATGGGAAGAAGGGTGCCTTGGTCCCAGATCGGCTCACAGATGTCTGGTTTAGCCACCAAGACAAGCAAATCCAGTGCGTACAGAGTGGTGTGGGGGAACGCACCTTCACAGCCAGCAGGCTTTGCCACTTTCTAGCTGTCTAACCCCCACCCTCTTTTTCTGTAAAAGGCAACAGGAATTCTTCCCTTGCAAGTGGACAGGACTGGAGAAGATGTATGCAGGTCCCTGATATGTAGGCACTGCCGATACTTGGCCAATGAGTAAGTGTAAAATAAGAGCACTAAGATCCATGCATTCTCAGCAGGGCAGAAATTGGTCCTTGGAATCTTGCTGATACTGTTTATGTATAAAGCACAGATATACATACAGATATACAGACTCAATATACAGTATCTGTGGTATTAACATTTCATGGGGGGATTAAGAAAAAATGGCTAAAAAGTCTCCTTAGAGAGAGCAATAATGAAAAAAAAAAGGTTGAGAAATATTATCTAAATGCAAAATTTTGTCTCCATGCCCCACATTAAGCCCGGGCCTTTGTACATGCTCTCTGCCTAAAACACCTCTCTCCACCTTATCCAACTGAGGAAAAGTTGACAATTGTTGGCACGGTAGGTACTGTGTGCCAGGCACTGGGCTGAGTTCTTGATTCACAACATCTCATTTAATTTTCCCCTAACTTCAGGGTTAAGGAATGTGTGGGAGCATAGACTCTGGGCTCGAGTCCTGGCTCTGACACACACTGGCTGGGTGCCCCAGGGTGAGTTACTTAACATCACGGTACCCCAGTTTCCTCATCTATAAATGGCGTTCATAACAGTACCTACTTCAGAGGGCTGCCGTAAGGACTAAATGATTAGACATACGCAAAACACTTAGAGCAGAGTCAGGCTCCTGGTAAGTACTAAACAGGCGTTTGCTATTATTTCTGTTCTTATTATTCTTATTTTATTTCAGATGAAGAAGCTCAGTGGGGTTGCATGATCTATTTGAAGTCCCACAGCTAGTTAGTGACAGAACCAGGCAGGAGACGATCCCAGTGGGTCTGACTCCTGTGTGTGAGCGCTTAACCCCTACATTACTCTGCCCCATACCATGTTGCACTCAGCTGCTGCCTCCTCCAGGAAGCCTTCCTGGACTTCTCCCCATCTCCACAAGACCATGTCTGTCCCTCTTTCATAGCTTTAACTACTCTGATTTATCAAAGTCTGCCTCTGTCTGGAGGCTTTAAAACGTCCAGGAGTGCTGATCAGATCAGCCTCCAAGACCCCAGGGCATAGGCAAGGCCTGGTCCAGACGAGAAACCCCATGAGAGTTTGCTGAGTAAATGCCTGATGGTGTGATGGTGCCCCACCGGAGGCCCCCACTGGCCCTGCTGACCTGCTGCTCTCCTTCTCCAAGGGCTCCACAGTGAGGTAGTACAGGTCTCTGGAGACGTGATACGGGTCCCATCGAGGTGGCCCCCGGGTGCTGGCCTTGAGGGACCACAGCAGGCCGAAAAGCAGCAGCAGGCCGCCTGCACCACAGCAGAAGAAGCTGACCGACCTGAGCAGGGGACCGGGGGCCTCAGGCTTGGGGCGTCCAGTGGGTGGGGCTGGCTGGCTGGGCTGGGCACCTGCATCTCCTTCACTCCACCAGGCGAAGCAGAGTGTCCCGGCCACCAGAACCACCGTGCCGCTGACCGTCATGCAGTAGCGGAGGGTGGAGGCCACGCGGCCCCTGTCACACATCTGGACACAGAGAAGGAGAGAGAAGAGGAGATGGGCCACATGAGAGGCCTGCTGGGTACTTGAGACCAGGTTTTAGTCCTCCTCCGCCCGAGGTCACTGGGCAGCCTCAGAAAGGTCGTTTGACTCCTCTGTACCTCAGGTTCCTCATCTGTGAAATGGGGATGATGCTCCCAACTTTGCAGGGCCGTTGTGAATGTCACAAATTTCTAGCACATGCCTGGGACCGGGTAGGAGCTCAGTAAGTGGCTGGGTTCACTCCCGGCCTCCCTCCAGGAGTCAGGCCTCATCTGCCGGGTGGGTATAAGACTCCCCACCGTGTCTACCACAGGCTGGAAGGGAAGAGAGTGAAGGCTGTGGGGTCCACCAGGCCTGCCAGGAGCGGGGCTTGCTCGTTAACTCGTTGCCTCACTTCACCCTGGTCAAAACCCCGTGAGGTCGACACTCATCTCTATAGACAGAGGAAGACACTGAAACCCTGGGGCAGGTAAAGGAGCAAGTGGGAGAGCGGCACTGAGAAGCCTGAAATTGAAATCCACAACATGAAGCAAAACTTCATGTGAAAAGATGGTCACCATGGCCTTATTTATAATAGTCATAATTTGGAAAGAGCCGAAATGTCCAGGGTAAGTAGACCACAGCATAACCTCTAGACGGACTTCTCATGACATTTAACAAAATCAAGCTTAGCACAAATGTTTAACAATAGGGGGAAAATGCTTATGACATCTGAGTTTTTTCAACTTAGTATGCCAAAATATGCAAACAGTGTTATTTCAATTAGGCAAAGACAAAATGCCCAGAGTGGGGAAAAAAATACTGGGAGGAATCCTGGCCCCAGATTATACAGACAGGAAGGGGTTGTCCCCAAAGCCAACCTCTAGGCTGTTGTACATGCTGTTCCCTCTGCTTGGCAAGGAGCTATTATTTCTCGTCCAGGCTCAGCTCAGCCCTCACCTGAGAAATCTTCACGGGTGACACTTTAAACTTGAAGTCTCCTGGGCCTTCTTGGACCAAGCTTTTATTTATCTGTTTGACTCTTCCTTTGCTTTTTGTCCTCACTAGGCAGCAAACTCCCTGAGGGCAGGTCTGTACTGGCCCTGTTCACTGCTGTCTCCCCCAGGGCTTAGCATAGACTAGCTGCTCTGGAAACATCTGTTGAAGAAATTCTCCTCAGTGAGAAACAGTGTTGCTGAATAAACCTTGTTGTGTGACAAGGCTCTCTCACGGGTGGGAGGGGTTGGGAGAGGGGAGGGAACACAGGATCCCAGCTGCTACAGCCCCGAGCCATGAAGCCTGGCTTTGTCCCAACACTGTGGTTCACCAGCTGTGTCTTGGGGTAAGGCTCTCAACTGCTTGGGGTCTGTCTCCCCACCCATATAGAGGGCAGGCTCTCCACCAGGCTGCTAGGAGAACTTACAGAGACACCCTTTCCTCTTCCAAAAACTGAGTCAGTGAAGGAGGGGACCGGGGAACTCGGAGACCTTAGGAAGACTTCCATGGCCAGACTTACCCAGCCTAAGGTGGTGTATCCGAATGATACCCCGCTGCGCAGCCAAAGGCATACTCCTTGGGGGCTGAGGGGCAGGGAAAATGTTCAAGATCTAGTAGGTAAGACTTTAGTTTTCAAAGGGGCATGTTCCCAGATGTGTTTCAAAACTTTTGTGTATGTGTGAGAAAGAGAGAATGTATACATGTAGCAAGGATGCTCAAGAAGTGAACCCCAATCTTTCTGAGCCCCCAGACCACCAGAAGCCTATAGAAAATGCCATTTGTTTTTCCTTAACAGAGGCACTGGGTATTGAACCCAGGACCTCGTGCATGCCAAGCATGGGCTCTACCACTAAGCTATACCCCCCACCCCTGAAAATGCTATTTGTAAATTACCTGCAGTTCTCTTCCTATGAATCTGTCTATGGGGCAAGTGCCTCCTGTCCCCAGCTCAAGACATTTTCATGGTGGGTAGAAAAAGAACCTGGCTACTCCCTCTCCAGAGTCAGACAGCAAAGAGGCTGTCAAAAGGAAAAGCTGGAGAGATCAGCTTGGGGGAAAAGAAACCCACAGCAAATCAATGACAGTAACCCCTTGCCCATATATTATGGCACTTGACAGTACTCCTTCACACCCAGCATCTCATCTGACTCACCACAACTGAGATGCATGGTCAGGGCAGGAAAAGAAATTCCTGTTTTGCAATTAAGGAGACTGAGCCCAGAAAGGTGAAGGACTTTGTCCAAAGCTGGACACAGCTGTGTGTCTCGACACTTAACAGAACTCACTTCTGCATAGGGTAACTTACCATGCTTCAAAATTTCTATAAAAGCAATAGTTGCTCATTGTGGACAAAAGGAGAAAACCACAGAAGAGAATAAAAATACAAAATACGAATCATCATTCATGCTGCCCCTCGGAGATAAGCATGACCCGCATGGGGATGTGGCCCTCCCTTGGCCTGCATTCCTGATGATGGTGGCAGCAGATGTGTACTGGGCATTGGCGGGGGCTGGGAACCACACCCAGCACTTTAGAGGTGTCCCCTGACTTAATCCTTACAACAGCATTATGTCCCGAGGACACTGGAGCTGTGATGGTGACAGCTTATCAGAAGTCGGTGCCAAATTTGAACCCAGGTGTGACTCAGATCTCTGTGTGTGTGCACTGGGCTCTATATTTTTGGATCTATATTTTTCAGTATATAAAGGTGAGACCATGCTGTGAATAGAATAAGTCTTCAGCTCAGGCAGTTCCCACTTTCTAGGATGCCCTGCCCTTCTTCCTGACTCAACTGCTCCTGGGCCTCAGACAGGCTCCTACAATTGCCCTTAGCCTGTTCTCACTGGAGGCTGTGTCTTCGCCTCCTGTGTGTCTCCCCCACTCCATGTGGATTCCCCCAGAGGCAGGCAGAGCACATGATAATCTGCCACCCCCAGGAGGTGGGGGGTGTCAATGTCCACTAAAGGACAGTCTGTTCTGTTGTGTGGTGGTTTGTATTATTATTACAGATCAGGGCTCTGACTGATTATCAGCAGGGTGTCCCGGCCCAAGATTCCCCTGACCCATTTCAGAGAGTGGTCTTCAGGCAGTTCACTCACCCCGCACACTGGTGTACTGTGGACTCTGACAGAGGAGGAAGAAAGGACTCCCTGTCCTGGAGGGCATAACCCTGGCCCTGGGAAGAGAGGAAAATTCAATCCCAGAGAAGTCCCACTCCCAATCTAACACGCTTCATGCTGCCAGGCTGCCCCCTCCTTCTAGTTCCCGTATATCCCCCACACCCCATGCACCCAAACTCCTGCCACCTGGGGTCCTATACACGGGTTGCTCCCTCTGCCTGGGGAGCCCGAAGTCCCCTTCCAGGGCCCTCAGTTCACACCTTCCTTCAAGACTCAGGCCAAACACCACCTCCTCCCAGAAGTTTTCTGCTGCTGTGCCCACCACCTACCAGCTGGAGGAGGCCTTTCCCTGCAACAGAGTTATCACTCCCTCTGACTATGGCCACTCTGTTAGCTCTGTGACCTTGATCAGGCTGCTCCACATCTCTGAGCTCAAATTCCTGGCTCCTAGGGAGGAGCAAGTTGTGAAGATGAGATGTCAAGAGGGCAAGTGCTAACTGAAGCATGGTGACATAACTGGATGGAAAGATGGACCCTGGCCCTGATAAATTACCTAGCTGCTCCATGCCTCAGTTCCTTTCTCTGTAAAATGGGCACAATAATATCATAACGTCCACGCTATCACCAGGGGAACTTCAGGTGCCAGTTTTCTATAAAGAACTAACCCATCTCAACAAGAAGTATTCCAAACCATCTCCATGTGACCACTGGGTAAACTGAGGCTCTGAGTGCCCCAACGCCACCCAGCGACTTAGAACAGAGGAGGAGACTTCGGTGTCTGGACTCTGCCCACCAAGCCACCGTGGTCAAGGTGAAGGGTAGGGGTCCAGGAGGGGTCGGGTTAGGAGGACCTGAGATGCTCCGGAAGATGGGGAGAGAAGGAAGCTTATACCCACCTTGGGCGCAGTCATCCCGCCGCAGGGTCAGGCGTGGTCCCCGCGCGGGGAGCCGCGGGAGCCCGGCGAGGGTAAAGGCATGCTGGCTGAGGGCAGCTCAAACCTGGGAATAGCTGTTTCTCGGGTCTGCGGGGGCGCCGGGCGTTAGGAGTGTCCTTGGCGACCGTCCCCCAGCCCTGCTCTCCGCGCCCCCAGAAGCGCTAAGGTCCGACTCCAGGCCTTATCCAGGGGTCTCGCTCGCCGC